ATGGTGTTGTCCTGTTGGCTCCATCAGACCAGCACCTTCAGCTCTGGGACGATTTGCAGAAGAGTGTGATTTGGCTGAGACTGTGTCTCAGCTGGAGGAACTGTCTCTCAGCTGGATGGACTGTGTCTCTCTGGATGGACTGTGTCTCTCAGCTGGATGGACTGTGTCTCTCAGCTGGATGGACTGTGTCTCAGCTGGATGGACTGTGTCTCAGCTGGAGGAACTGTCTCTCAGCTGGATGGACTGTGTCTCTCAGCTGGATGGACTGTGTCTCTCAGCTGGATGGACTGTCTCTCAGCTGGATGGACTGTGTCTCTCTGGATGGACTGTGTCTCTCAGCTGGATGGACTGTGCCTCTCAGCTGGATGGACTGTGTCTCAGCTGGATGGACTGTGTCTCAGCTGGATGGACTGTGTCTCTCAGCTGGATGGACTGTGTCTCTCAGCTGGATGGACTGTGTCTCTCAGCTGGATGGACTGTGTCTCAGCTGGATGGATTGTGTCTCAGCTGGATGGACTGTCTCTCAGCTGGATGGACTGTGTCTCTCAGCTGGATGGACTGTGTCTCTCAGCTGGATGGACTGTGTCTCTCAGCTGGATGGACTGTCTCTCAGCTGGATGGACTGTGTCTCTCTGGATGGACTGTGTCTCTCAGCTGGATGGACTGTGTCTCTCAGCTGGATGGACTGTGTCTCAGCTGGATGGACTGTGTCTCTCAGCTGGATGGACTGTGTCTCTCAGCTGGATGGACTGTGTCTCAGCTGGATGGACTGTGTCTCTCTGGATGGACTGACTGTCTCTCAGCTGGATGGACTGTGTCTCTCAGCTGGATGGACTGTCTTTCAGCTGGATGGACTGTGTCTCTCTGGATGGACTGTGTCTCTCAGCTGGATGGACTGTGTCTCTCAGCTGGATGGACTGTGTCTCTCAGCTGGATGGACTGTCTCTCAGCTGGATGGACTGTATCTCTCAGCTGGATGGACTGTGTCTCTCAGCTGGATGGACTGTTTCTCAGCTGGATGGACTGTGTCTCAGCTGGATGGACTGTGTCTCTCAGCTGGATGGACTGTGTCTCAGCTGGATGGACTGTGTCTCTCTGGATGGACTGTCTCTCAGCTGGATGGACTGTGTCTCAGCTGGATGGACTGTGTCTCAGCTGGAGGAACTGTCTCTCAGCTGGATGGACTGTGTCTCTCAGCTGGATGGACTGTGTCTCTCAGCTGGATGGACTGTCTCTCAGCTGGATGGACTGTGTCTCTCTGGATGGACTGTGTCTCTCAGCTGGATGGACTGTGCCTCTCAGCTGGATGGACTGTGTCTCAGCTGGATGGACTGTGTCTCAGCTGGATGGACTGTGTCTCTCAGCTGGATGGACTGTGTCTCTCAGCTGGATGGACTGTGTCTCTCAGCTGGATGGACTGTGTCTCAGCTGGATGGACTGTGTCTCTCTGGATGGACTGTCTCTCAGCTGGATGGACTGTGTCTCAGCTGGATGGACTGTGTCTCTCAGCTGGATGGACTGTCTTTCAGCTGGATGGACTGTGTCTCTCTGGATGGACTGTGTCTCTCAGCTGGATGGACTGTGTCTCAGCTGGATGGACTGTGTCTCTCTGGATGGACTGTCTCTCAGCTGGATGGACTGTGTCTCAGCTGGATGGACTGTGTCTCTCAGCTGGATGGACTGTCTTTCAGCTGGATGGACTGTGTCTCTCTGGATGGACTGTGTCTCTCAGCTGGATGGACTGTGTCTCTCAGCTGGATGGACTGTCTCTCAGCTGGATGGACTGTGTCTCTCAGCTGGATGGACTGTGTCTCTCAGCTGGATGGACTGTGTCTCAGCTGGATGGACTGTGTCTCTCAGCTGGATGGACTGTGTCTCAGCTGGATGGACTGTGTTTCTCAGCTGGATGGACTGTGTCTCTCTGGATGGACTGTGTCTCTCAGCTGAATGGACTGTGTCTCAGCTGGATGGACTGTGTCTCAGCTGGATGGACTGTGTCTCTCAGCTGGATGGACTGTGTCTCAGCTGGATGGACTGTCTCAGCTGGATGGACTGTGTCTCTCAGCTGGATGGACTGTGTCTCAGCTGGATGGACTGTCTCCCAGCTGGATGGACTGTGTCTCTCTGGATGGACTGTGTCTCTCAGCTGGATGGACTGTGTCTCAGCTGGATGGACTGTGTCTCAGCTGGATGGACTGTGTCTCTCAGCTGGATGGACTGTGTCTCTCAGCTGGATGGACTGTGTCTCTCAGCTGGATGGACTGTGTCTCAGCTGGATGGACTGTGTCTCAGCTGGATGGACTGTGTCTCAGCTGGATGGACTGTGTCTCTCTGGATGGACTGTCTCTCTCAGCTGGATGGACTGTGTCTCAGCTGGATGGACTGTGTCTCAGCTGGATGGACTGTGTCTCTCAGCTGGATGGACTGTGTCTCTCAGCTGGATGGACTATGTCTCTCAGCTGGATGGACTGTGTCTCAGCTGGATGGACTGTGTCTCTCAGCTGGATGGACTGTGTCTCAGCTGGATGGACTGTGTCTCTCAGCTGGATGGACTGTCTCTCAGCTGGATGGACTGTGTCTCTCAGCTGGATGGACTGTGTCTCAGCTGGATGGACTGTGTCTCTCAGCTGGATGGACTGTGTCTCTCTGGATGGACTGTGTCTCTCAGCTGGATGGACTGTGTCTCTCAGCTGGATGGACTGTGTCTCTCTGGATGGACTGTGTCTCTCAGCTGGATGGACTGTGTCTCAGCTGGATGGACTGTGTCTCTCAGCTGGATGGACTGTGTCTCTCTGGATGGACTGTGTCTCTCAGCTGGATGGACTGTGTCTCTCAGCTGGATGGACTGTGTCTCAGCTGGATGGACTGTGTCTCTCAGCTGGATGGACTGTGTCTCAGCTGGATGGACTGTGTCTCAGCTGGATGGACTGTCTCTCAGCTGGATGGACTGTGTCTCTCTGGATGGACTGTGTCTCTCAGCTGGATGGACTGTGTCTCTCAGCTGGATGGACTGTCTCTCAGCTGGATGGACTGTGTCTCAGCTGGATGGACTGTGTCTCAGCTGGATGGACTGTCTCTCAGCTGGATGGACTGTGTCTCAGCTGGATGGACTGTGTCTCTCAGCTGGATGGACTGTGTCTCTCAGCTGGATGGACTGTGTCTCTCAGCTGGATGGACTGTGTCTCTCAGCTGGATGGACTGTGTCTCAGCTGGATGGACTGTCTCTCAGCTGGATGGACTGTGTCTCTCAGCTGGATGGACTGTGTCTCTCAGCTGGATGGACTGTGTCTCAGCTGGATGGACTGTGTCTCAGCTGGAGGAACTGTGTCTCTCACTAATTTGAATTATGAAACACTCAGAAACTTCATATGATCCATGTTTTGTGTTGAAGAGGAGGAGGCTCATTTGATTGCTAGACTGAAATCTGTGGTGATTCGTCTGCAGTTTTGAGTCAGGGGCGGGTAATTAGGGCTGTGTCAATTATCAGATATATATCAATATTTTAAAATTGAATACATTATAGCTGTTTTATTTAGGAATATATATATATATATATATATATATTTATTTATATATATATATATTAATTGTCCACTCACCTGGCCCTCCGTGGGCGGTTATCCCTCTCTAAGCTCGGGTCCTCTACCAGAGGCCTGGGAGCTTGAGGGTTCTGCGCAGTATCTTTGCTGTTCCTAGCACAGGAACAGGCCCTGAGCACCAGAGAGGCCCAGATATACCACACCAGACAAGACCCAAGGTGTCGGTTGTGCAAAGAGGCACCTGAGACGATCCAACACATAACTGCAGGGTGCAAGATGCTGGCAGGGAAGGCCTACATGGAACACCATAACCAAGTGGCTGGCATAGTGTACAGAAACATCTGTGCAGAGTATGGGCTGGAAACCCCAAGGACTAAGTGGGAAACTCCTCCAAAGGTGGTGGAGAATGAGAAGATCCTGTGGGACTTCCAGATACAGACCGACCGAACGGTAATGAACCAACCTGACATCGTGGGGGTGGACAAAGGGCAGAGCACAGCCGTGGTGGTGGACAGAGGACCGCAGTGGTGGTGGACAAAGGGCAGAGCACAGCCGTGGTGGTGGACAGAGGACCGCAGTGGTGGTGGACAAAGGGCAGAGGACAGCCGTGGTGGTGGACGTGGTAATTCCAAGCGATGGTAACATCAGGAAAAAAGAACATGAAAAGCTTGAGAAATACCAAGGTCTCAGAGAGGAGCTGGAGAGGGCCTGGAGGGTAAAGGTGACAATAGTGCCCGTGGTGAAAGGTGAGTGGACAATTTTTTTTTTAAATATATATATATATATAATTTTCCGATTTAGTCTCTTTTCCATTATTTCGATTTTTTGATGTTACAAACAGAAGCTTGAGATGATTTTTTTCATCAAATGTAATGCACCAATAATAGCTTTAAGATACCAGCCAAAAGCCTTTTTTACTGTGTTGTATTTTTGTTTGATTGTATGACTATATTTTTGACTGTGCGCACGTGTCTCCTGCAGCCCTGAACATACGTTCTAAGTTTATCAGTCCAGGTCTCAGTTCAGGTCTCAGTCCAGGCCTTGGATTCTTCAGCTGCAGATTGAAACATTGTTTCTCTTTGATGGCCCACTCTGGATCAGCCAATCAGAGTAGCCTACGGTCCCGCCCCCTGTGCACTTAGTATCACAGCCTAAAACTAAACATGTTTAAATGTGTTGTTTTAACACACACAGTACAGGAAAGGGCTTTAACACGAGTTCACCAGGAACAAGTTTCATTTGAAAACTTTGAAATGTTGTAATTGTAAAATGAATAAGTAAAAAACTATATTTTTTGAGGGAGAAAGAAACAGCTTGCAGGTGGATTTAACCAATCACAACACTGTGTATCTTAACCAATGAGAGCGCACAATGAGCCATGCGTGAAACGAATGCACGTTCTGTCTGAGTTCACGTGCACACGAGGACCACGCGAAGAGCACACGGCGACGAACCGGAGAGATGGCGCGTGAGAGCAGAGCCGATGCGGTAAGTACCTCTGTCTTATTTCTGTGGGTAAAGTGAGTGCTTTTCATTGTAATAACTCCGGCCAAAGTAACTTCTCCGTATCAAATCCAATGTTTTAAATACAAAACGTGGTGCTCAGCGGTAAGTTCGTTTGATGGCGGCGTGGGTCTGTGTCTGGGTCTGGGTCTGTGCGTGGGTCTGTGCGTGGTTCTGTGGGTCTGTGCGTGGGTCTGTGCGTGGTTCTGTGTCTGTGCGCGGGTCTGTGCGTGGTTCTGTGTCTGTGCGCGGGTCTGCGCGTTGTTCTGTGGGTCTGGGTCTGTGCGTGGGTCTGTGGGTCTGTGCGTGGGTCTGTGCGTGGGTCTGGGTCTGTGTCTGTGTCTGTGCGGGGTCTGTGCGTGGGTCTGTGGGTCTGTGCGTGGGTCTGTGCGTGGTTCTGTGGGTCTGTGCGTGGGTCTGTGGGTCTGTGCGTGGGTCTGTGCGTGGGTCTGGGTCTGTGCGTGGTTCTGTGGGTCTGTGCGCGGGTCTGTGTCTGTGCGAGGGTCTGTGCGTGGGTCTGTGGGTCTGTGCGTGGTTCTGTGCGTGGTTCTGTGGGTCTGTGCGTGGTTCTGTGGGTCTGTGCGTGGTTCTGTGTCTGTGCGCGGGTCTGTGCGTGGTTCTGTGTCTGTGCGCGGGTCTGCTCGTTGTTCTGTGGGTCTGGGTCTGTGCGTGGGTCTGTGGTTCTGATCTCTGAAACTTCGAAAAAGATGGAGGCCTTCTAAAATCAATTGCTGAATTATGAAAATTGTATGAGCAAGCGATTATTTTATTTATTTTTTCCCCTTGGTCTGTGAAATGCACTATATATGAATATTACTTACTTATAGAACGTGTTTTGGATTCCGGACCTCATGGAGTAATTTCCAAAAATCATTTTAAATTTATTGTAAAATTAAAATGTGTTGAAATGTATTAAACAAAATGCAGATGAATTCTAATTGTAAATCTTGCATGTTGCAGATGAGTAGCCCATCTTCAGATGCCTGGTCCAGTGATGAGTACAAGCCTCCTCCTGGAAGCCCGTGCTCCTCTACATTATCCAGCAACGTTTCAGTATTTTCTGACACATGTGAGTCCAGACCAAAGACAAGTCCTGGTTTAGTCCTTAGTCCTGGTTTAGACCTGGTTTAGACCTGGTTTAGACCTGGTCCAGTCCTGGTTTAGACCTGGTTTAGACCTGGTTTAGACCTGGTTTAGACCTGGTTTAGACCTGGTTTAGACCTGGTTTAGACCTGGTTTAGACCTGGTTTAGACCTGGTTTAGACCTGGTTTAGACCTGGTTTAGACCTGGTTTAGACCTGGTTTAGACCTGGTTTAGACCTGGTTTAGACCTGGTTTAGACCTGGTTTAGACCTGGTTTAGTCCTGGTTCAGTCCTGGTGTTTAGACCTGGTTTAGACCTGGTTTAGTCCTGGTTTAGACATGGTTTAGGCCTGGTTTAGACCTGGTTCAGTCCTGGTTTAGTCCTGGTTTAGACCTAGGCTAGACTTGGTTTAGTCCTGGTTTAGTCTTGGTTCAGACCTGGTTCAGACCTGGTTTAGACCTGGTTTAGACCTGGTTTAGACCTGGTTTAGACCTGGTTTAGACCTGGTTTAGACCTGGTTTAGACCTGGTTTAGACCTGGTTCAGACCTGGTTCAGACCTGGTTTAGACCTGGTTTAGACCTGGTTCAGACCTGGTTCAGACCTGGTTTAGACCTGGTTTAGTCCTGGTTCAGTCCTGGTTTAGTCCTGGTTCAGACCTGGTTCAGACCTGGTTCAGACCTGGTTTAGTCCTGGTTCAGTCCTGGTTTAGTCCTTGCTGACCCTTCTGTGTGTTCTTAGCGTGTGCTGAAGTGTCTGATGAAGAGGAGCTAGAGCCGACCTCCACAAAGGCCCAGAAAAACAAACGGACCAAGAGGATAGATGGTGAGTACAACTGATCCTGGTTTAGTCCTGGTTTAGACGTGGTTTAGGCCTGGTTTAGACCTGGTTCAGTCCTGGTTTAGTCCTGGTTTAGACCTAGGCTAGACCTGGTTTAGACCTGGTTAAGTCCTGGTTTAGTCCTGGTTTAGTCTTGGTTCAGACCTGGTTTAGTCCTGTTTCAGTCCTTTTTTTAGACCTGGTTTAGACCTGGTTTAGACCTGGTTTAGTCCTGGTTTAGACCTGGTTTAGTCCTGGTTCAGACCTGGTTTAGTCCTGGTTCAGACCTGGTTTAGTCCTGGTTCAGTCCTGGTGTTTAGACCTGGTTTAGTCCTGTTTCAGTCCTTTTTTAGACATGGTTTAGGCCTGGTTCAGTCCTGGTTCAGTCCTGGTTCAGTCCTGGTTTAGTCCTGGTTTAGACCTAGGCTAGACTTGGTTTAGACCTGGTTTAGACCTGGTTTAGTCTTGGTTCAGACCTGGTTCAGTCCTGGTTTAGTCCTGTTTCAGTCCTTTTTTAGACCTGGTTTAGACCTGGTTTAGTCCTGGTTTAGTCCTGGTTTAGTCCTGGTTTAGTCCTGGTTCAGACCTGGTTTAGACCTGGTTCAGTCCTGGTGTTTAGACCTGGTTCAGACCTGGTTTAGACCTGGTTTAGACCTGGTTTAGACCTGGTTTAGACCTGGTTTAGTCCTGGTTTAGTCCTGGTTCAGACCTGGTTCAGTCCTAGGGTAGACCTGGTTTAGTCCTGGTTTAGTCCTGGTTCAGTCCTGGTTTAGTCCTGGTTTAGTCCTGGTTCAGACCTGGTTTAGTCCTGGTTCAGACTTGGTTGAGTCCTGGTTCAGACTTGGTTGAGTCCTGGTTCAGACCTGGTTCAGACCTGGTTCAGACCTGGTTCAGACCTGGTTCAGACCTGGTTCAGACCTGGTTCAGACCTGGTTCAGACCTGGTTCAGACCTGGTTCAGTCCTGGTGTTTAGACCTGGTTCAGACCTGGTTCAGTCCTGGTGTTTAGACCTGGTTCAGTCCTGGTGTTTAGACCTGGTTTAGACCTGGTTCAGTCCTGGTGTTTAGACCTGGTTTAGACCTGGTTCAGTCCTGGTTCAGTCCTGGTGTTTAGTCCTGGTTTAGACATGGTTTAGTCCTGGTTTAGACATGGTTTAGTCCTGGTTTAGACATGGTTTAGGCCTGGTTTAGACCTGGTTCAGTCCTGGTTTAGTCCTGGTTTAGACCTAGGCTAGACTTGGTTTAGTCCTGGTTTAGTCCTGGTTCAGACCTGGTTTAGTCCTGTTTCAGTCCTTTTTTAGACCTGGTTTAGACCTGGTTTAGACCTGGTTTAGACCTGGTTTAGACCTGGTTTAGACCTGGTTTAGTCCTGGTTCAGACCTGGTTTAGACCTGGTTTAGTCCTGGTTCAGACCTGGTTCAGACCTGGTTTAGTCCTGGTTCAGACCTGGTTTAGTCCTTGCTGACCCTTCTGTGTGTTCTTAGCGTGTGCTGAAGTGTCTGATGAAGAGGAGCTAGAGCCGACCTCCACAAAGGCCCAGAAAAACAAACGGACCAAGAGGATAGATGGTGAGTACAACTGGTCCTGGTTTAGTCCTGGTTTAGACGTGGTTTAGACGTGGTTTAGGCCTGGTTTAGACCTGGTTTAGACCTGGTTTAGACCTGGTTCAGTCCTGGTTTAGTCCTGGTTTAGACCTAGGCTAGACCTGGTTTAGACCTGGTTCAGTCCTGGTTTAGTCCTGGTTTAGACCTAGGCTAGACCTGGTTTAGACCTGGTTTAGTCCTGGTTTAGTCCTGGTTTAGTCCTGGTTTAGTCCTGGTTTAGTCTTGGTTCAGACCTGGTTTAGTCCTGTTTCAGTCCTTTTTTTAGACCTGGTTTAGACCTGGTTTAGACCTGGTTTAGTCCTGGTTCAGACCTGGTTTAGTCCTGGTTCAGACCTGGTTTAGTCCTGGTTCAGACCTGGTTTAGTCCTGGTTCAGACCTGGTTTAGTCCTGGTTCAGACCTGGTTTAGTCCTGGTTCAGACCTGGTTCAGACCTGGTTTAGTCCTGGTTTAGTCCTGGTTCAGACCTGGTTTAGTCCTGGTTCAGACCTGGTTTAGTCCTGGTTTAGTCCTGGTTTAGTCCTGGTTTAGTCCTGGTTTAGTCCTGGTTCAGTCCTGGTTTAGACCTGGTTCAGTCCTGGTTTAGACCTGGTGTTTAGACCTGGTTTAGACCTGGTTTAGACCTGGTTTAGACCTGGTGTTTAGACCTGGTGTTTAGACCTGGTGTTTAGACCTGGTGTTTAGACCTGGTGTTTAGACCTGGTGTTTAGACCTGGTGTTTAGACCTGGTGTTTAGACCTGGTGTTTAGACCTGGTGTTTAGACCTGGTTCAGTCCTGGTGTTTAGACCTGGTTCAGTCCTGGTGTTTAGACCTGGTTTAGACCTGGTTCAGTCCTGGTTCAGTCCTGGTGTTTAGACCTAGGGTAGACCTGGTTTAGTCCTGGTTTAGACATGGTTTAGTCCTGGTTTAGGCCTGGTTTAGACCTGGTTCAGTCCTGGTTCAGTCCTGGTTTAGTCCTGGTTTAGACCTAGGCTAGACTTGGTTTAGTCCTGGTTTAGTCCTGGTTCAGACCTGGTTTAGTCCTGTTTCAGTCCTTTTTTAGACCTGGTTTAGACCTGGTTTAGACCTGGTTTAGACCTGGTTTAGACCTGGTTTAGACCTGGTTTAGACCTGGTTCAGACCTGGTTCAGACCTGGTTCAGTCCTGGTTTAGTCCTGGTTTAGTCCTGGTTTAGTCCTGGTTTAGTCCTGGTTTAGTCCTGGTTTAGACCTGGTTTAGACCTGGTTCAGACCTGGTTTAGACCTGGTTCAGACCTGGTTCAGACCTGGTTCAGACCTGGTTTAGTCCTGGTTTAGTCCTGGTTCAGTCCTGGTTTAGTCCTTGCTGACCCTTCTGTGTGTTCTTAGCGTGTGCTGAAGTGTCTGATGAAGAGGAGCTAGAGCCGACCTCCACAAAGGCCCAGAAAAACAAACGGACCAAGAGGACAGATGGTGAGTACAACTGGTCCTGGTTTAGTCCTGGTTTAGACGTGGTTTAGGCCTGGTTTAGACCTGGTTTAGACCTGGTTCAGTCCTGGTTTAGTCCTGGTTTAGACCTAGGCTAGACCTGGTTCAGACCTGGTTTAGTCCTGTTTCAGTCCTTTTTTTAGACCTGGTTTAGACCTGGTTTAGTCCTGGTTCAGACCTGGTTTAGTCCTGGTTCAGACCTGGTTTAGTCCTGGTTCAGACCTGGTTTAGTCCTGGTTCAGACCTGGTTTAGTCCTGGTTCAGACCTGGTTTAGTCCTGGTTCAGACCTGGTTTAGTCCTGGTTCAGTCCTGGTTTAGACCTAGGGTAGACCTGGTTTAGTCCTGGTTTAGTCCTGGTTTAGTCCTGGTTCAGTCCTGGTTTAGTCCTGGTTCAGTCCTGGTTCAGTCCTGGTTCAGTCCTGGTTCAGACCTGGTTTAGACCTGGTTTAGACCTGGTTTAGACCTGGTTTAGACCTGGTTTAGACCTGGTTTAGACCTGGTTTAGACCTGGTTTAGACCTGGGGTTTAGACCTGGGGTTTAGACCTGGTTCAGTCCTGGTTCAGACCTGGTTTAGTCCTGGTTTAGACCTGGTTTAGACCTGGTTTAGACCTGGTTTAGACCTGGTTTAGACCTGGTTTAGACCTGGGGTTTAGACCTGGGGTTTAGACCTGGGGTTTAGACCTGGTTTAGACCTGGTTTAGACCTGGTTTAGACCTGGTTTAGACCTGGTTTAGACCTGGTTTAGACCTGGTTTAGACCTGGGGTTTAGACCTGGGGTTTAGACCTGGTTCAGTCCTGGTTCAGACCTGGTTTAGTCCTGGTTTAGACCTGGTTTAGACCTGGTTTAGACCTGGTTTAGACCTGGTTTAGACCTGGGGTTTAGACCTGGGGTTTAGACCTGGTTTAGACCTGGTTTAGACCTGGTTTAGGCCCCGTCCCATTTCTCTCACTTGCACTCGTTTTAGACCCTAGCACTCGGTTATGCGCGTTCACGTTTAAGGGTAGTGTGTCCCAATACTTTGAAGACCTAGGGAGAAGTGCACTTCAACCCTTGAAATGATCCCTTCAGACGGAGGGAGGTCCGGACCTGACTTGGGACGAAGTGGCTTCCCAGAATTCTTTGCAAACTCATACGGCGAAAAGAAAGATGGCGGCAGGCGGTGGCAAAGAATCGCACAAATGTAAGTATAGTTTTACAATTAAGCACACGTTTTCCAAAAAATATGTTGGGATATATTAGTTAGACGTAAATACAATTGAATTCTGTACCGCTGTGTTAAAACATGAATTTTGCAAAATCGCTAATTTTCACATTGCACAAATCTACCGAGACAGCTATTTTTATTTCTAGACACGTAAAGTAGGATGATTATGCATGACAGCTTTTAACAAAATTATCCCCATTTCTATCTTAAGGAGTCATGCGTTTATATCCGCGGTCACTAGCATAGCTGGGATGCATAATTGTCATCGTGCTTGTTTACTGCACACTGTTTCGTCCTGTAATATTCACAATAGATTGTGGACAAGCCTATCAATTGAGGTGGAGGGAAGGTAGCATTCCGTGCTGACTATTGTCAAAAGGCATGATTTTTCAGCTTGTTTCATGAGCAATATTGTTATATAGTGAAAAGTCCAATGTCTTATGTCATGTGTCAGCACATATGAAATAAGCTATAATTATCTTCTCATAAATAAGTGGAGACAGTATTCAAAAGCATATGTGTGATGCTGGCCAACAGAAAGCTCTTACAGCCATTAGAATAATATGTGAGGTTTGTGCATCCATTCACTATCAAATAATTCACAAGTAATTTAAATTTGCAAATTTTCTTTTTGGAAATTTCCTTCAAAAACTGTCTGTCTCCCAATTGGCCCCTGCCCTCCACCTGAAAAAGAATTCTAGCACATGAATGCAACCTATTGGCGAGCAACTTGTGTCTAATGTGGTCATGTGGGCTAATGTTTCAGGGACTGTGGAGCAGACCAAAGCCCTAATTAAGTTCAGGGCTGACAATGAAGAGCAGTTCACAAAAAAGAAGTATACCACAAAGCAACTCTGGGAGTGAGTAGCCTAACCTGCTGTTTAACAGTCACATTCTGATAATGCATTAACCCACCCTTATGTTCATCCCTATAGGACAGCAGTCATTGAGATCGGCCTGACGGGTAAAATCAATGGCCAACAAGCAGCAAAAAAGTGGGAAAACTTGAAAACGAAGTACAAGGTAATGTTATCCCATGTCCCATGTTATCATCTTCATCATCTAGGCTAAATAACCCATCCCGTCAGATGTCACATAATTAATTAATAACTGTTTTATGTGACTGTGTTTGTGTGTTTGGGGTGGTTGTTATTGCAGATGCTGAAATTGCCCAAGACAGGATCAGGCACAGCAGATGGGGAGCAAACGGCATCCAACTGGAAGTTCTACGAGGACATGCATGCAGTTCTGGGGGGCAGGCCATCTATTGACCCACCAGTATTGGTAGCTTCATTTACCCAACCTGGTCCGACAGAATTACTAATGGTAAGTTTACAGGAGGAGGAATTGAATTGACCAATAACTTTCTTAAAATACACTAGTATATCACAGAGCATAAAGGTCTATACAAAGTTGTTGTTGTGCTGTGACTTCAGCATGCATTAATTTATTTTTGTTATTCAAATCTCTAGGCCATTGTTGAACCTCCCATGGAGGAGCCGGATCCATCTTCCACTACTGCAGACACAGCCCCGCCAACACCGATGCCAGCCACACGGGCAGGCCCGTCTACTTCTTCCCCACCAGGTCCTAAAGCACCCACCACCCCATCTCCCAAAAAAAGGGCTAGAAGAGTCAATAATGCTGTCCTTGAGTTCTTCAAACAAGAGTCTGTGAAGGAGCAAAAAAGGCACGAGGAAACTGAGTCCAAAACAGAGAGGTTCCTCAGTTTGTTCGAAAAGCTTGTGGAGAAAATGCCTGAGCAGTGAGAGCTGTGGTGGTTTTCCCTCGTTCATGTTCATGTGCAATACGTTTCTTTTAAGCTTATTTTGATGTTTTTTTTATTTAATTCAAATATTGTTCTATATTTGTGATATTTTTCTATACATTGTTTTAGTTATGTCAAATGTGAGTTCATCTTTCTGAATACAAATATTTATATAAATCAAAGTGCTTGGTGGTTGTTTTTTGACCGGGCATCATACACATTCATACAGTATGTCACGTCATTATAAAACAAACTACCAAGGTATTGTACAAAATAAGTTTAATCAAATGTAGAAACATGAACCACAGCAACAATATACAACACTTACAGTAACTATATACACCCACATAACACACAGGTCAGATATGTGCTTGAACATAACTATTTACAAGTTTTGCAAGGATTTTTTTCAGTGAGGGCCTTGTTTATCAAATCAGGCCAGCGAGTCTGTCCCTTGTGGCATTCCCTGGTGTTACATTTGGGTCAGGGAGTTCTTGTAACGGCAGTTCTGGGTCCATGTTGTCCCCGGCCACATCCTGATCAGGCTCCAAGATGTCTCCGTTATCCAAGCAAACATTATGCAGAAAGGCACAGGACGCTATTACTTGGGGTGCAAATGTAGGCTTGACTTCCAGGGCCTTGAAAAGTGTGGATCTCCACCGAGTTTTCATTATGCCAAAGGCTCTTTCAATAATTGAACGCCCCTTTGACTGGTGGTAGTTGAACCTCTGTTGCGCTCTGCCATTCACCGGTTCCCTGTAGGGAGTAATGAGGCAGACTGGGGTTTCCAAACACGGGTATCCTCCATCACCCAGAATGAAGTACCCAGTTGGAGGATACCTTCTTGCAATGTAAAAAGAGCTGCTCTTTAAAATGCGTGTGTCATGAACAGACCCTGGATATCCCACAAAAATATCAAGGAACTTTCCCAAGGAGTCACAAATTGCCTGCATGTTTATTGAGTAGAACCCTTTGTAATTCAAATAGTCCAGTCTATGGAGTGATGGGGGCTTGATCCGAATGTGGCAACCATCAATGGCACCAACAGCTTTTTTGAGGATGGGTGTCCCAGAAAGTTGCTCAAATCCATGACCCACGGTGTCAAGATTTGCCGGGCTTGGAAATGATATTGCCCTGTTCAAATTGTCCCAAATAAACTGTGCAACCTTGTGGACTATTCTATGGATGGTGGACCTGGGAATATTAAAAACATGTGACACCACACGGTAGGACAGACCATGGGCAAGCCAGTAAACGTAGATTAGAACTTCTAGCTCATGGCCCCAGCCGTGGTCCTGTTCTCTCCTCAGCAGACACTGCAGGGCATGCATGGCCTTCCTACTCAGTCTGAAGTCCCGGATGAGTTCCAACTCCACGTCAAACCACAAGCGCAGGATGGGTACATTCCTGTCCATCCTACAGTAGGTTAGTGCACGGCCACTCTGGAACACAATAGGTAAAAAACAAGCATTTAGACATAAACATAGTAAATAAAAGACAGCTTTTACTGTTTTTTTATGCATCCTGACAATTATACATCACAGTTGTCTTTTTCTTTTTTAAATATGATCATAACTGCGAGTTGGCATTCCTTCAAAAAAACAAAAAAATGGGGTTTTGGGGATACAGGGAACGTTTTGTAAGCTTCAGGTGTGAGGTGGAATTTTCTCCTGTTTGTTTACTTTCTCATCGCGTAACCGGTTAATGACCCAAAGGCTGTACCCATTTGTGAAAAAATTAACATACATTATAAGTAAGTTGGCATTTTATCGAAACCAATAACAGGTAGTACGCTAGCAGCATACGGATAGCGTCATAATAAATGAGTCCACGTACCGTAAACAGATTAATCAGGGCAAAATAGCGGCGAAGTCGTCTTCGGTTTTGCCCATTTCTTCTCCGTTTGTTGGCCACACGAAGAAAGGTCATCAACGCCCACGCAATGGGTAAAATAACTACTGGAGCCGGCATTTCCAAACCTGTACAAACACTCGATGAAAATACACCGCTGCTTGTGACTCTTGTTTATGCATGACACAGGAGAACACGTGACGTTACTGAGGTGTACAGGCAATGTGTATTACCGCCATCTACTGGACTGGGGTGAAATTTTGAAACTAGTGATGTCCCAATTCTTAGGGGAAATTCTTCACTTGCACTTCCCTCATTGAGGGGACTCTACTGTGGAGGGAACTCATAGCGAGTGTTCTCAGAACAAGTTAGAGAAATGGGACTGGGCCTTAGACCTGGTTTAGTCCTGGGGTAGTCCTGGTGTTCAGACCTAGGGTAGACCTGGTTTAGTCCTGGTTCAGTCCTGGTTTAGACCTGGTCCAGACCTGGTCATCAGGATAAACATAAGTCTTTATGTGTCTTATTGTCTCCATCAGAAGCTTCTAGAAACCCAAAGAAACCCTGGAGTGAGGAGGAGAGCCGTGGAGAAGAGGATGGGGAAGTACCTGGCTCTGTGTGCTGTGCCTCACACAGGAGTCTGCAGCCCTCATCAACAGAACCTGGAAGGACCTCAAGTACTTTGTGTATAATACTATTATCCGACTCAAGAGGCAGCTTGTGTAGCTGGTATTTGTGTCAAACTCATTCCCAAAGCGCCGCAGTGGCTGCAGGTTTTCCATCAGACCAAGCAGGAGCAGAACAGACTCCTCCCATTTCCTCAGTGAGTTCAGTCTTAACCTGAAGGTTTGAGGAAATGGGAGGAGTCTGCTCTGCTCCTGCTTGGTCTGATGGAAAACCTGCAGCCACTGCGGCGCTTTAGGAATGAGTTTGACCGCCCTGCTTTAATGTTAAGTGCACAGTTATGTTTTAAAGTCCCGTTCAAGAGCACTTTGTATTAGGTCCTTTGTAATTGTCCTGTTGGGACAAGTCAAAATACAAAGATGCAAATAAACCTGTCTTTCAAATGTTTTGCTTTGTTTTATTAAAATTGCTGTGATCCCACATAATAATCTGTGTCCATTTGCACATGTGACCAACTATATAATTCTAAATAAACCTTCAAAGAGTTAAAGGTCTATTCATGATTTCTTTTGCAAATTTCACTTATTGTCCCCACTCTGATGGTTCAAAACGTTTTCTTAAATCTTGGTTCTAAAATTTTTTCAATGGAGTGTATAGCTCCGCAGCGCCATCAAGTGTCTAGAAAGTGTTTTTTCTTCCTCCTAAAACATTGGGAAAGGCAAGTCCTCAGTTTTCATGTTTTTAACTACAACCTCACTTTGTGGGGTTTGCGGGAATGTGTGTTTGTGTGTGTGTGTTCTGGCGAATAAATAGAGACTGATTCTTGAATGTCTGAAGTGTTATTGCAATAGCGCCACACTGAGAGCGAGGGTCAGGGCAGATAGTAACATATGTGTGCACGTGTGTGTGTGCGCGCCCCGGACACGAGTGCACACACACACACACACACTTCAGCAACGAGCGCTGAGAAATGAATGAATGAGAATGAAAAGTGTGGAGCAAAGCGATGGGAGGCAGGGAAGTTACGTGTGTGTGTGTGTGTGTTCTGGTGAAGACTGATTCTTTAATGTCTGAAGTGTTACTGCGATAGCACCACTGAGAGCAGGGTCAGGACAGAGGGAGTTATACTCGTAGTAAACGCTTTTCTTTGGCCTTGCAGCTACACACTCCCTGTGCCCCTCGGTCTGGGGCTTATATGAAAGGTTTAACAGAAGCGGAGAATATAAGAAAGTGCAGGAGAGACGTGTGTGAAAATGCGCGTTAGGACCTACAACACACACATCAGGTCTGAGTGAGATATTAGGACCTACAACACACACATCAGGTCAGAGTGAGATATTAGGACCTACAACACACACATCAGGTCTGAGTGAGATATTAGGACCTACAACACACACATCAGGTCTGAGTGAGATATTAGGACCGACAACACACACATCAGGTCTGAGTGACATATTAGGACCTACAACACACACATCAGGTCTGAGTGATATATTAGGACCTACAACACACATATCAGGTCTGAGTGAGATATTAGGACCTACTGTACAACACACACATCAGGTCTGAGTGAGATATTAGGACTTATAACACACACATCAGGTCTGAGTGAGATATTAGGACC